CAGAATATAACTGGCACAAATCGGTTTTCTCACATTCTCTTCGGGGTAACACGTGTCACCTCTGTGCATTTTCACACTGTAAGGATCCATGTTGGATCCCCGGAGAACAAGTTGAACGACTTATTTTGTTCTACAGTTGTTTTCCGGGTGACACGTGCCGCCTCTGTTTCGTTTCGCTTGTATGGCTCCATGTTGGCTCCCAGCGTGCAAGTGAAACAGCTGGTTTTCCTGACACGGTTTTCGGGGTGACACGTGTCGGCGTTGTGGCGTTTCACGCTGTATGGCTCCATGTTGGTGGCCCCCAGAATGCAAGTGCAACGCTGGGTTTTTCTCACACTGTTTTCGGGGTGACACGTGTTACCCCCGTGTGGTTTCACCCTGCATGACTCCATGTTGGCTCCCAGAAGGCAAGTGAAGCCGCTGTTTTTTCTCCAACGGCTTTCGCGTTGACGCTTGTCGCCTTTGTGTCGTTCCGTATTGTATGGCTCCATGTTGGCTCCTAGCGCACAAGTGAAACAGTTGGTTTTACTCGCACGGTTTTCGGGGTGACGCGTGTCACCCGTGTGTCGGTTCCCATTGCAGGTATGGCTCCATGTTGGCTCACAGAAAATAATTAGAACAGTTGTTTTCTCGCACACGGTTTTCGGGTCGACTCGTGTCACCCTTGTGCATTTTCACATTGTACGTCTCCAAGTTGCCTCCCAACATTCAACTGAAACTAGTGTTTTTTTAATCACGCGGTTTTCGGGGTGGCACGTGTCACCTTTGTGTCGTTTCACATTGTATAGTTTCATGTTGGCCCCCAGCATACCAGTTGAAAGCATGTTTTATGCACGGCGTTCGGGGTGACTCGTGTCACCCTTGCGTCGTTTTACGCTGTATGGCTCCATGCTGGCCTCCAGAAGACAATGGAAACAGTTGGTTGTTCTCACACAGTTTTCTGGTTGACACGTGCCACACTTGTGTCGTTTCACATTGTATTGCTCCATGATGGCTACCAGCATACAGTTGAACCAATTAGGTTTTCTCACACGGTTTTCGGGGTGACGCGTGTCAGCCTTGTGTCGTTTCACGTTGTATGGTTCTATGTTGATTCCCAGTATGCAAGTAAACATGTTTTCTCTCACGCGGTTGTCGGGGTGATACGTGGCCCACAAAATACAAGTGAAACAGAGTTCTTCTCACACTGTGATCGGGGTGGCACGTGCCACCCCTGGCGGCTCCTACGTGTTGTTCTTACATTGTCTGGCTCCATGTCGGCTCCCAGGATACAAGTGAGACAATTGTTTTTTCTCACATGGTTTTCGGGGTGACACGTGTCTTCCCTGTGTCGTGTCACAATGTATAGCTCCATGATCGCCCCCAGAGTGCAAGTGAAGCAATTGGGTTTTCTCACACGGTCTTCAGGGTGACACGTGTCACCCCTGTGTCGTTTTACAGTGTGTGGTTCCATGTTGGCTCCCGGCATTTTCAAGTGAACCAGCTGTTTTTTTTTTCACATGGCTTTCACGTTGACACGTGTTGATTTTCTGTCGTTTCACAGTGTACGGATCCGTGTTGGCTCCCAGCATACACGTGAAACAAGTGGTGTTGTCTCCCACGGTTCGAGATGACGCGTGTCACCCCTCTGTCGTTCCACATTGTAAGGTTCCAAGTTGGTTCTCAGAATACAAGTGGAACAGTTGGGTTTCCGCACGCGGTTTTCGGGGTGACACGAGTCACCCTTGTGTTGTTTCACATTGTATGGCTTCATGCTGGCTCCCAGAATATAAGTAAACAGTACGTTTTTCTCACGCGATTGTCGGGATGACACGTGCCACCCCTGTGTCGTTTCACATTGTGTGGTTCTGCGTTGGCTTTTAGAATACAAGTGAAAAAACAATAGTTATCTCACGCGAGTTTCAGGGTGACACGTGTCACCCCTGTGTCGTGTCACATTGTATGGTTTTATCTGGACTTCCAGAATGTATGGTTTTATCTGGTCTTCGGGGTGACACGTGTCACTCTCGTGTCGTTTCACATTGTATGGCTCCATGTTGGCTCCCAGCAATTGTTTTCTCACACGGTCTTCGGGGTGACACGTGTCAACCCCGTGACGCTTCATTTTGTATGGCCCCATGTTTGCTTCCAAAAAACAAACGAACCAATTGGTTTTTCTCACATAGTTTTCGGGGTGACACGTGCCCCCCCTGCTTCGTTTCAATGTGTATGTCCCCATGTCTGTCCCCAAAGTACAAGTCAAATATTTGTTTTTCTCCCACCGTCTTCGGGGCGACACGCGCCTTCCCTGTGTCGCTTGACACTGTATGGCTCCATGTTGCCCCCCAGGATACGAGTGACCAATGCGGTTGTTCTCGCATGGTTTTCGGGGGGACGCGTGTCACCCCTGTGTCGTTTCACGCTGTGCGGCTCCATGCTGGCTCTCAGAGTGCAAGTGACGTAATTGTTTTTCCTACACGGCCGTCGGGGTGACGCGTGTCACCCCTGTGTCTATATCGCA